TCCACTGGTTCAAATGAAAACAACATATCTTAACCTAAAAATACTTACCGATGAAACCATACATTTCGACTTAAATGATCTACCTTTTTGAACACTACACATGCATGTACCATAATTCTTTATATTTCTCACAAAAGTTCACAAAAATAGTATTTTATAAATGAATAAATCAATAAGTCACACAGAAACTGTCAGACACTGTCAGAAATACAAAATAGCTGTTAGACATGATTGGCAACGTTGCGGCTGGTTACGGTACTACATTTTATTATAAGAATAAGAATAAGATATTCAGCGTTGCCGTATTTACGGAGTTCTTCGAAACCCTAATATTTTGTTTAGATTAATATTGATTTTTTAATAAAAAAGTTAGCTTATATTAAAACTTCAAAGAATAATTTGATTAAAAACATATTTTTATTTATATAATATAAAATTATAGTTATAGGACACATCAAATTTTATTTTTCGAAAGTAATTTCTCCAAATAATTTTGACCGACTGATAAAATCGGCAAAGACGCAATAAACGAGAATCTGGTGGGAATAATGATTTGCCACATAAAAATGTAAACAATTTATTCTCTTAGTTGTAATGTCTTTGCAATCTACTCATGATAAGTTTTAAGACGTCAAACCTTTTGTAAGAATCATGGTGCAATAACTTTAATATAGACAAGTATAGAACTAAAGTCATGTGGCATGACATCAAAATTCTTAGACTAGAAAAAGAGGATACTGGAGAATTATTTTATAAAACCTCATTTGAATACAAAATAAAAAAAAAAGTTTTATACGTAAGAAAAGAGCCGCAAATCAGTTATTTCTGTGGATTTGACGCCAGCATATACAGGAAAAAATTTCATTATCTGATTTGAAAAGAAACGATATTCGCAAGATTTGATTGATAAGAATGTAATTCCAAAACAGTACTATAAATCCTATTTTAAAAATGAGTTAGGAAATAATTAAATTTTTATATTATTACCTATCTAGAATAAAAAAATATATTTTTTTAAATTAACCTTAATTTTTACCTATCTATGTTGAACTTAGAATGTTTATATTTTCTATTTTTAACTGAGTTATTTATACGTTTTTTTTTTTTAAATTTGTTAAGGTGAATTAAAATATTGTGAGACTGTTAATGAGTTAAAGTCTATTTGTTGAAGTTTTCTAAGAAATTCTACTCCTCAATTTTATATCCATTGTTTTATCATTCAACCCAGATAAAATTATACAAAGAAACTACCCTTTTTTTAAATTGGTATTTATACTTTTTGCTCGTTTTAAAAGTGTATCAAATCAAAAAAATTCAACAAAACCGATTTAAGTCTAAATAATAGAAAAAATAAGTGAAGTTTGTTTTACAAAACTGTAGTAAGTTAAAAAATCCCATTTCCAACTTAGTCGATTTTTATAACATTTTTCAATCGAAACATTCTTTAATATACACTTGCTAAATACAAAAAAAAGTTGTAAACTCCTATCAGATATGGGTACACGACAATGAGTTTTTCAATATTTCTGAAAAATGTGTTTCTTTTTTGAGTTTTGATCTAGGTGTGCGATATAACGAGTGATCCACGGTTCGTAGACACTACAGTGGCCTCAACCCCTTTGCTACGATGGAGTGACGTCACTGAATGAAAAAGTGAGTTGACAGAAAATATTCTATTTAGGTTCATATATGAGTTTTAAAAAATATAAAATTTTATTGTTAATTAGTAGTGTTTATATTTTTATTTTTGGACTATTTTTTAATGATATAGTTTTCATAATACCGCATCATGTGATGATTTCCATAAAATTTTAAATGAATTACTTTTTAATTGAATAATTATTATAAAGAAAAATAATATTGTGTGAATGGTTTATTTTAAACATTTTGGGTTAGGGTACGACCTCCTAGCCGAACTCGGGCCACATTTTGTTTATACCATAAAATAATTTGAAATTTTACAAACAGAAATCATCAGAAGAAAGGGACTGAGCCTAAACTGAAATAAAGGCTCATGGTAAGATTTTAGAATATTATTCTGCAATTATCATAATTGAAATACATTCAGTATACATTTAACGTTACATTCATCAGCAATCCTAATTTCCTCACAACCCCTATAGCCGTCCATATAACCTGTAGTATTATAGCCGATAAGGAAGTTCTCTAACAGATAAGTACGTTATGCGCGTCAGCTACTCCTCATTGGTTAAAAACTACGACGTCAGCCTCAATCTCGCTTGGCGGCCGATCATCGATTTTACTGCTTCATGAATAGTCAAGCATACCACATGCGTTTCCCTGTGGTAGAAACGACGCTGTGCCCGCCATTATGTAAAATATAAAATTATTTAAGGAACACGGCTTAAGATTTTAAATTTCCGAGAAAAATGTATTTGTAAATAATACAAAAAGTGTATATTTCGATATAAACAATGTACTAGTGCTAAAACAAACTAATTTCTGTTCATTTTGAAATCAAATATGTTTAGTAAGTGGGGGCCTTTGAATTTAAGTGTTTGTAGCACCAAGATTTCATGCATTACTTAGGTAATTAAGTATTATTTATTAATACAGTACACTAATAGTCTTAGGTCAAATTGGCCCTTTTTTATGTGTGGCGTGATACACCGGTTAAGCCTGTACATCGGTGTAACCGCTACAATTATTCACAATTATTTAAGGACGTGTCTATTCATCGGAGCGCTCCGTCATATAGAAGTGTGCAGTTGACGCCTGTGGGCACGCTCCTCCAATATCTAGATCAAAATTATTAAGAAATCGGCTGGAATCATTTTTTGAATAATAATTAAAACAGATTTACATTTATGCCATATGTTTAAGAAACTTTTTTAACTTACACAGGGTGTATATTTAGTGTATGGAAGTCCAATATCTCGGGATACGAGAAAATGGTTCATAGAAGTGCCTGTTGTAAAAATATTTTCAAAAAAGCAAGGCAACATAAATATATTTCTTCAAATGGAACACCCTGTATTTTATATTTGAATTCAACTAAAAGATCTAAGTAGTTTCGTCCAAAACACTATATATCTAAATTCAATTGTTTTCAAGCTTTTTACATTTGAAAATTGACTCTTTCACCTTTGACAAACTGTAGCACCCAAACGTCAGAAGTCGATTAGATTAGATTTAGAAGGAGTTGGAAATTCTTTGTCCTTGTACCCTTCTTTAACTAATTTTGCCCAGAGTTTTGTACGAGAACACGATTAAGCTGAACAAATTTTTTCATTGACATGAATACAATACTTCCTCATTCGATTGGAATTTAGTTTTCACCAAGTTTTCCCTTATGGTTATCTAACATCAATATTTGATGACGAATTAAATAATTTGAATGTATTCCATTTTTTTAAATTATTTAATTTTGGTAGTATCTTCAGGGTAAAAAATCAGAAAACAAATATAAAAAAACGTTTATTATCAGTGTTTATATGGCAGTGTACTAAAAATAATAATAATAATTGTGGTACCTAGCATATTCTTTATAATACTTAATAAACCTTTTCGGACATATCTCCAATGGCCCCCTTCTTTCGACCCATGTTTTACAAAATTTTGCATCTAAAATACTTTACAATATATTTACAATACAATACTTTACAATTCCTTACAATTATTTACAATTTTTTACAATTCTATACAATACTTTACAATACTGTACAATACTTTACAATACTTTACCATACTTTACAATACTTTACAATACTTTACAATACTTTACAATACTTTACAATACTTTACAATACTTTACAATACTTTACAATACTTTACAATACTTTACAATACTTTACAATACTTTACAATACTTTACAATACTTTACAATACTTTACAATACTTTACAATACTTTACAATACTTTACAATACTTTACAATACTTTACAATACTTTACAATACTTTACAATACTTTACAATACTTTACAATACTTTACAATACTTTACAATACTTTACAATACTTTACAATACTTTACAATACTTTACAATACTTTACAATACTTTACAATACTTTACAATACTTTACAATACTTTACAATAATTTACAATACTTTACAATACTTTACAATACTTTACAATACTTTACAATACTTTACAATACTTTACAATACTTTACAATACTTTACAATACTTTACAATACTTTACAATACTTTACAATACTTTACAATACTTTACAATACTTTACAATACTTTACAATACTTTACAATACTTTACAATACTTTACAATACTTTACAATACTTTACAATACTTTACAATACTTTACAATACTTTACAATACTTTACAATACTTTACAATACTTTACAATACTTTACAATACTTTACAATACTTTACAATACTTTACAATACTTTACAATACTTTACAATACTTTACAATACTTTACAATACTTTACAATACTTTACAATACTTTACAATACTTTACAATACTTTACAATACTTTACAATACTTTACAATACTTTACAATACTTTACAATACTTTACAATACTTTACAATACTTTACAATACTTTACAATACTTTACAATACTTTACAATACTTTACAATACTTTACAATACTTTACAATACTTTACAATACTTTACAATACTTTACAATACTTTACAATAATTTACAATACTTTACAATACTTTACAATACCTTACAATACTTTATAATACTTGACAATACTTTACAATACCTTACAATACTTTACAATAATTTACAATAATTTACAATAATTTACAATAATTTACAATAATTTACAATATTTTATAATACTTTACAATACTTTACTTTACAATTATTTACATCATTTTGAAAAGCAAGAGATTTGCATGCGTATAAGCAACACAGAAATAAAACTAAACTAATATCAGATGAATAAATATGTTTAAATGAATAATAAAATGCATTAGTGAATATTTATTTTTGCGTGTTTATGTTTTATTTTGTCATAGAAAAAGTAAAATACTTAACTCGAAATGTAATTTCTACTTACAACCATCTTTACGTAATATATTTGTATATTTATACTCAGCCAGTATATTTTGAATTTCCGCAAAACTCTTTCCTTTAGTTTCTGGTAGAGTAAAATATATTAAAAAACTGGCAATAATAGAACTTACACAACAAATCCACAAACTGAAATGTATCCCAATTTGTTCTGTAATTATGGGAAATAAAAACATAGTAATAAAAAGCATTATATTACTAATAAAAAGCGTCATAGTAGCACCCAAGGTCCTTATTTCGTTCGAAAATAATTCTGACAATAAGACAAACGGTATGGGTCCCATACCGATACTGTACCCACTGTAGTATACTGAAATACCGAAAATAGGCAGCCATCTAAGATTTTCAACCAAATCAGGTCTTGTGAGTTGTAAATAAAAATACAATCCCAAAACGAACAAACTGAATATGCAAAATACATTAGAGCACAGTAAAAGTGGTCTCCTGCCCCATCGGTCTATAAAAAAAGACGCAATAAACACGAAAATAATTTGTATCAACCCTGCCAATACCCCAAGATAATTCCCCGACAAATAACTGTCAGATTCGTTAAATATTGGCGCCATAAATACACCTAGTATAAAAATACCGGTGGCTTCTTGTGCTAAAGCTATTTCTAGACACAACAAAAATGCTTTTGAAGAAGGGCCGCCTTTGAATAGATCACTTCTTTTAGGTTGCTTTACGGTTTCTGTTTCTGTCATTTTCGTAAATTCCATTTCCACGTCTACAGTTCCCCTCAATGCCTCTAACGATTTTAAACATTTCAGTTCCTTCGTTGCCAAAAATATTGGAGATTCTGGCAAAAAGAAGGAAAGCAACAGGAACAGTGACGGACAGACAGTACCTATCATAGCTATGGTTTTAACACTACTACCGCCTGAGTAGTACCCCAATAAAGAACCGAATGGTACGCACATCCCAGAAAAACAGCTTACTTTCCCTCTAATTCGATCTGTAGAGATCTCCGAATTGTACACACTAACCGTTGCTACTAAAAGTGCTTCGCAAAATCCGTTAATAAATACACAAACGAAATAAATGTAAATCTGTTTGGCGAACGCTAAGGTTGTGAACGACATAAGCAGCACTAGCGACACATTGAAGAGGGTCTTCTTTCTTCCAAGGTTATCAGCCGACGCTGGCATGTAAATCAGTCCTAAGCATGATCCGAAGAACGGCAGGGCTGCCAATATCGATATGTGTAGCGTCGTGCAGACTGTTGTCAACGGGTTGACTTCGGGATCGTCCGATTTGAGTTGGGGAATCACCGATGATGGCCATGCGAGTGAGAAGCCGAAGGAAACTAGTAATAGATCAGCTGAAAAAAAGATTTACGTTCGTTTATTTTAATTAGGTAGATACTATGCCATTAGAGAAAAGAACAAAGAGATCATCAATGAGGTTGAATAATATGGAGACTTTTTGTATCATGTATGGAGGTGACATGCCACCAGAGCTGAGCGGACCACTGCGTTAAAGCACAATTTGTAGCTATACAAAGTACTCATATGTATCTGAGTATGAGTACAGATGGAGGCTTTTAGAATTGTCAGTTGGACAATTAAAAAAAGCCAGAAAATATTATGAAGTTAAGATAAATATATATTACAGTTGAAGAATAAAATAAAGAATAAAAAAAAGAATAAAAAGAAAGAAAAAAGTTAATTTGAATTAAAGATAAGTCAGAGAAGAAAGCAGAGGAAAACAGCAAGAGAAGACTAGGTAGGAAAATAGGAGTTAGAGCAGAAAGCAGAAGAACAGGGTGCAAGAAGAAAGAAGCGAAGCGAAGTGAAGCTGAAGATTTAGACTTTTTTTTTCAAATTCAATATTTATAGATTAGTATTATTTTTAGTTATTCTTTTCAATTTTTTGTGGAAGCCAAAGGAGCCATAACCCTAAATGCAGTAGGATATTCGAATGATTTAACCTCTCTAAGGTGGAATCATTATAATATATATGCGCGCGTCGGTACTCGTACTCGTGACTCGTCAGCTGAAGGAATAAAATGTACTGAATACTTTAAAATATAAAGTACTCGAAATTGTTTGGGTATAAGTTGAATGAGTATCAATTACTCAGTACTTTGAGTACTCGAATACTGCTCAGCTCTGCATACCACTATAAAAAGCGTCACCACTTTTTTAACCCTTAGAAGTCACAATAAATGACCCCGCACTTTCCTTTTGTAAAGTGGCCACCGGTCAAATTTTATAAAACTTTGGTATGTTGTACTCTTAGAATATATATAGTGAGGAAGGAGGAATCCCAAACGACCTTGGAATCGCAATGGTACAGTTCATCAAATTTCTAGAGGCTTTCGACGGCTAGACAGAGAAAGCACTACTGACAGGCATCCCGACGGATTTACGCAATGAAAGTACACTCTGCGCATCAAGTAGAAGAACAGGGTGCAAGAAGAAAGAAGCGAAGCGAAGTGAAGCTGAAGATTTAGACTTTTTTTTTTCAAATTCAATATTTATAGATTAGTATTATTTTTAGTTATTCTTTTCAATTTTTTGTGGAAGCCAAAGGAGCCATAACCCTAAATGCAGTAGGATATTCGAATGATTTAACCTCTCTAAGGTGGAATCATTATAATATATATGCGCGCGTCGGTACTCGTACTCGTGACTCGTCAGCTGAAGGAATAAAATGTACTGAATACTTTAAAATATAAAGTACTCGAAATTGTTTGGGTATAAGTTGAATGAGTATCAATTACTCAGTACTTTGAGTACTCGAATACTGCTCAGCTCTGCATACCACTATAAAAAGCGTCACCACTTTTTTAACCCTTAGAAGTCACAATAAATGACCCCGCACTTTCCTTTTGTAAAGTGGCCACCGGTCAAATTTTATAAAACTTTGGTATGTTGTACTCTTAGAATATATATAGTGAGGAAGGAGGAATCCCAAACGACCTTGGAATCGCAATGGTACAGTTCATCAAATTTCTAGAGGCTTTCGACGGCTAGACAGAGAAAGCACTACTGACAGGCATCCCGACGGATTTACGCAATGAAAGTACACTCTGCGCATCAAGTATTTCACTATTTCATTCAGACGTAAATGTTAGATGTAAATTTCGCTAAAACATTTCTTTTATTTTCGTTTGTGTTTTTTGCTCATTACAGTTTAATAGAACCTAAGTATGGAGTTTAATAGCAAATTAACAGTCAATCTCGCGAAATAATAGCCAATGTTATAGAGTTTATGAGAAGAGAAGGAAACTTTAATTCACCTTCAATACCATTTAAAAATGTAAATGATCGTGTTGCTGCAGCCACAGGAGTATCTAAAAACATTGTCGTCCGCATTTCTGGAGAGAAAAAAAGAATCGATAACCGTGAGATATCGGAATTTTCATTACCAAGAAAAACCATTAAAAAACCAAAAACAGTTAATGATATAGATGAAGCTGCACAAGAATCACATTTTATTTTTTATTATTAGATAGCTATTTTTGTTTCTGAGTTGTGTTCATTTACAGGCTCAATTTTTTTCCGTTTCTCCTTTTTGATTTTATATGGGGTTTCAAGTTGTTTTTGACTTATTTCGACGTAAATCACAACACACTTTTTTAATAAAGCAAACAAGTGTTAAGAGGTATATGTACGTGTAAACTACAATTATAAAAAATTGATATGAAACCCATGAAACCACCAACAAAAATGTAAAGCTAGCTTCCGTACTAAAACATGGTGTCATTCGTCGAGATAATTTATCGTTTTGTTTAATATCAAGAAATGTAAATATTCCCCTGTTATTTTTTATAAAATTATAAGAGAAATAAATTTTTTTCTAAATAGTATAGTTTATTATTTTGTAGAAAAACAAAATTTCGAAAATATTAGTAATGTTTCAGAAACAACCGTTATTAATAATAGGTACCATTTTCCTTAATAAGGTAGAAATAAAATATAAACTATTTCCACGATTTACAAAGGCCTACAAAAAAATTATAGGTATTTTCCGCTATCCTATAAAATTTATATTTTCTGACTCAATTTCAAAAGGTTGAAGGAATTCCAAAACACCTTTTATGGCATAATAATTATTTTCAATTCTACATACTATCTTTAGCTGCTTTTAAAAACGTTCTAAGAAAGTCCAATCAGACCAATTTAATCCCTAAACTATTCCACACTTTTAAAATTTAATTACCTAAAAATATTAAAAACTATTTAAAATAACTTGTTTAGCAGACTGTACAATAGCTATCTTAGTCACACGTAGCGCGTTCTCTGTCTGGGCGTCGAACACCTCTAGAAATTTGATGAACAATTTTGACAGTGAACTAGACGAATATGGCGACAAGTGTTTCCGGTCTACCAGTGACTTACTGTCATAAAGGGGCGTAGAAAAGAAAATAATAAATTCTCATTTGCATATTATCTAAATTTTTATAAGATCTGTTTCTATTAATAATTTTAATCAATTCCAGTTCTCTGCATTTTACGGAATAACTGTATCGTCTGAAAAACTTACAATATTTCCATCTGTATTTCAACGACAAATTATTTAAAATAAAATTAAACAAGATAGGACCTAAGACAGTATCTTGAGGCATGCGATATGCTACTTATTTCCTTACTTGAGATATTATTAATTCTATTTGTGTATGTTTTTGTAAATAACTTTGTAATAAATTATATAGGGCGCATCACATTCATACAATAAACTTCTATTATACGAATAAAACGGGACATGGTATAGTTAGTAAAGAATTTATTTACTTATAATACTTCAACCGGACCACTTTTATTGTTGGAACAGCTGTTGGTAGAAGTCTTATTCTTGGTTTTGAGGTTCGATCAAAACAATCTGCTTTAAAATGGCGTGAACACAAAAAATTTTAAAAATCTTTAATGTGGTTGAAAATTGAGATTATTCCTTTCTACTTTTAGCTGTGCTGTTATATCTATAAGACGAACAACTGACCATATTGTCTGTTTGTCTTTTAACGTGGAAAATTTAATATTAACGGTAATACTAAATAAATACTAAAACACTAAACACTTTTTAAAAATGTCTACAAAACATACGCTTGATAAAAGTTTAAATTAACACATAAAACATCCAAATTATTAACAAATTTTAATCACTAAAATTATAAACCAATTTTGGTAACCATTTATCATATGTGATGATGAATCCATCCATAGTACAACATGGCTACCACTTCTGTCAGATCAATTAGATAGCATGCTCCTTCCTGACTATATATGTTCTAAGGTTGTACTTAGCCTAGTAACAGTGGCGCAGCGTAAAGTAACAGTAGCGACAGCTTGGGTTGGCTCCTTTGATGTCGAAGTGGTCAGGGGTGGGATTTCGTTGTGTCGAGTAACTCGATTTAGATACGATTCAAAATTCGATCGAATTTGATATCAAACTCTCTATAATTTCAATTCCGTTCAATGAAATTCGATAATAAACTCTATCAAATAACTGGATAGCTCTATAGTAGTCGATTCGATATCAAATCAATAAAGTTGATTTTTTTTGACATTAGGTATGAACCTTTCAAATGAGTTGAATAATATAACTGAAAATAATTTTGTTTCTGCAGCAATGTGCCTTTTCTGAATAAACTCTATTAAGGGCCTTATTTTCTCTACTAGGTATATACGGGATCCCTACTGTTTCATACTGACAGTATCTGTATCTGTAACGTGTGGAGGGTGGGTTAACCCACGGCACTTACGCCTCGCTAGACCCATTGTGCATCCTCCTAAGTAGATAAGCACCTCCTGGTTCATGAGCCAGTATTGCTATTTCTTAAACGGGAACAGATAGAAAGTTGGTCAAAGTTGACAAAAGTTGTGCCGTTTTATGCTTATTATAAAAATAGTGCCAAAAAACATTTGATATCAACAAGAAAATCCAAAATATCGGAGAAAAACGAATGAATTAATTTAAAGAAATGACAATTTTTATTTTTGTCCAAAATATTGAATTGAATCTTTTTATACATAGATATCAAAGGTTTCTTGGCACCATTTTAATAAGCACAAAACTGCGCAAATTTTGTCTATTTTAACCAACCTTCTGTCTGTTACAGTTTAAGAAATAGCAATACTGCCCCTATGAAATAGTAAAAAAAAACTTTATTGTCCAAACAAGTAATTAGAGGACACATACAATAAAAAAAAATATATGTACACATATAATTATTCCTAATTTAAAGAAAATAACTTAAAATACTTAAATTAATAGCTTTGTGCTTTACATATTTAAACTCACACTATAAAATCAAACGAAAGAATGAAACTAAGAATGAATAGGTGAATTTGTCAAAATATTTGTTCGAGGTGTGGG